TGCTGCTGCGTGTTGTTTTTCGTCTCTCTGTGTTGCTTTTCGCTTTATGGGTCCTTGCGGTTTGCTGCTGCTGCTGCTGCTGCTGCTGCTGCTGATACAGGCTGTGCGCTGCTGCAGCAGCAGCTGGAGTTCGTCTGCGTGCAGCAGCAGCAATTGGCTTCAATGCATGCGCTGCTCAGCTGGAGCAGCAAGCTGCTGCTGCAGCACGATCTACAGCAGCAGCAGCAGCAGCAACAGGAAGAGCTGCTGCAGCAAATCCTGCAGCAGCAGCAGCAGCAGCGCGCGAAGAAGGCGACGCAGCAGCAGCGCATGCAGGACCATCAGCAGCAGCAGCAGCAGCAGCAACAGCACCGAGTGGAATAGAAGCAGCACGAGCAGCAGCAGCAGCAGCAGCAGCAGCAGATCTTGCTGCTGTAATCTGTATTTGCTGCTCTTCTGCTGAGGGGGGCCTCAGAAGCTTTGGGGTGCAGCAGCTGCTGCTGCTGGCTTCTATCCTCAATATACCTGCTGTTGTAGTGCGTAACAAAGAGTGGGTCTGCTGCTGCTGCTGCTGCTGCTGCTGCTGCTGTTGTTGTTGTTGTTGTTGTTGTGGGTTGTGCTGTTGCTGCTGTTGCTGCTGCTGTCGGTGCTGCTTTTTCTGCTGCTGGTGTTGCTTGGTCTGCTGCATGCGTTGCTGCTGCTGTTGCTGCTGAGCTGGGTATTGCTGCGCGTCCTGCTGCTGCTGCTGCTGCTGCTGCTGCTGTGCTTGCTGCTGCTGCTGCTAACCCTGCAGCCAAAAGGAAGAGCTGCCGCAGCAGCTGTCCCGTTGAGTTCGCGTCGACGCTGCTGCTGCTGTGTTGCTGCTGCTCGTGGCGCTGCTGCTGCTGCTGCTGCAGCTGCTGCTGCTGCAGTTGTTTATCTGTAGCTGTTGCTGCTGTGTTGCTGCAGGTGCAAGCGGCGGATTGCTGCTGCTGTTGGGCTGCCAACAGCTTTGGCTGTTGGGGTGTATAGGCAGCTCAGGCTAGGCTGCTGCAGAGCAGCAGCAACGCAGCAGCAGCAGCAGCAGCAGCAGCAGGCTGCTGCAGGGAGCAGCAGCAGCAGCAGCAGCAGCAGCAGTGCAGAGGCTAAGGAAACATCGGCAGGTGAAAGAGGGGTTCAAGGAGCTGCTGCAGCAGCAGCAGCAGCAGCAGCAACGACAGCAGCAACAGCAGCAGCAACGACAGCAGCATCTTCATGTAACAAATGCAGCAATCCTGGCGCTTCTAACCAGCAGCAGCAGCAGCAGCAAACGGCGCAGCAGCAGCAGCAGCAGCAGCAGCAGCAGGCAGTGCAGGAGCAGCAGCAGGCTCTAATAGAAGCAGTCACAAAGTATGGGCCTCCGCAGCAGCTACCCTTCATGCTGCTGCAGCGGGAACACCCACTGCAGCAGCA